ATTCAAAAGTATTATCCACATGATTAAAATGTAAACAAATCTGTGGAGGGATCTTTAAGGGTTTCTGGGGCAGAGCCCTAATGGGATTCACTTGGTTTTTCTTTTGATAACTCATCTAGAGACCAAAACCTTTCTTTGGACACCCCTACCAAGTTTCTACTCCAAGCCGTTCTCTCAAATTAGTGGAGACAAAGTTTCCAATTAAATATTTGGATTCCCCCATGTTAATCTTATGGGAGAAAACCCAACTTTGATAGATGATCCTGCCCAAACTAATAAAGATTTCAAAAAATTAAAAACACTTTGAAAACTACAGATCAGGGCCATTATTTTGACTTTTTAACCATTAAAATCGGTCCAAAAATGAGGGAGGAGTTCTGTTTACAAAAATCGGCTTAGCGTATTATATATATAGATGTAAAATTTTTAACCTCTTTGATGTAAACATTCTGATAGACGGATGGAAGAAGAAGGTTTTTTATTTGATTTCAAAACTATTTACAAACACTAATATTGATATAATTATGTAGTGATGCACGACTGAAATACTTAACACACCCTTTTATGACCAACCCAAACCGGTAATTTAATATTTTAATTTTTAATTCAATATATTTCATAATTTATTTACCACTCTTTTTATGAATAATCTGTTTGATCATTGTATCGGTGGTCCAAAAATAACTATGGTGGAGGGGGAGGGCGTTTGATTATGTTGTATCGGTGGTCTAAAAAAACTCATAAGAGGGGGGCCCAAAAAATTGGTTTGCAGGGGGGCCCGTAAAAATTTGTTACGCCACTGGCCAAAACCTACGACGTATTTCCCCAAAAGGCATTGGAAAATATGCGAGCCCGGTTTTATCCCCGTTGTTGGATAGCTAGTTGCGCTAGGTTGCGGTTCCAAGGGTCGAAATGTTTAACGAATCAACAGTAAAGGACAAACTAGTATTCTGAAAAAAGAACGGATGGCTCACACAAAGGGTATAAAATATAAAATCTCCGACAATCGAACTCACATGATCATCATTGCCATATTTGTTCTCTATATGGAAAGAAATGTGCGCTGCGGGCGAACCACAGTTTGGGACGGATTGCTGTGGGCGTACCACAGTTAGGACGGATGCGTCGATCTTGGGGACAGGGAAGAAGCTAATCTGCAAAATATGATTATACCACACAAACTCCTACAATACAGTTAAATAAAAACACACAAAGTATTAATCAGCACTAAACCTACACCACCTACCACACACAGTTATATGAGACACGCAAACACTAGCAACCGCTAAAACTACAACACCCAAAATACCATCATTCAAGACACACACGTATTAGTAACATCTACACTACAACTGCTAAAATACCGTTATTCAAGACACACACGTATAAGTCACTACTAAAACTGCAGCACCTGAAATATAGCTATATAAAAACACAAACGTATTTGTAACCTACTTACACATGCTGTGGGCGAACTACAGTTCGGGACGGAGTGTTGTGGGTGAACCACAGTTTGGGACGGAGTGTTATGGGCCAACCACAGTTAAGGATTGGGGAGTGCTGTGGGCGTACCACAGTTAAGGATTTATTATTACTAAGTGCTGTGGCCGAACCACAGGGAAATATCGCTAACTAGCCTATATAGCCTAGATAAATGTTGTGGGCGAACCACGGGGAACTATCGCTAACTATAGTTAAATGCTGTGGGTGAACCACAGAGAACTATAGCTAACTACAGTATAGCTAAGTGCTGTGGGCGAACCACAGTTAGGATCGGAAGAAGCTGCGGGTGAACCGCAGTTAAGTAGGCTATAGTTATATTTACACAGATCACACAAATAAGCTAGTATCTAGGTTATTTAATTGAACCACACGTCTTGATGTCGCACAGTATTTACCCGTTAAACTATAGATAATTTGTCACACAAAACGTTGGATAACTCCGATTATAGCAGTTTAGTTAAGATTAAAAAACACTTGATGTTGCACAGTATTTACCTGTTTACTCCAGATAATGTGTCATACAAAATGTTGGATAGCTCCGATTATAGCCGCTAAGTTAATTAAAACCACACAACACACAGTAAATATGACTACAACAGCTAATTGGTTTCCTCCTCTGTGGGAGGATGAGAGTGACGGTAAATTTCTTTGAATGTAATTATTGTTCAATCAAGATCAATAAATAATTACATGTAGAAGTATCGAATTATGTGAGAAACAAGATGTCAATGTATGGCTGCAATGATGTTAACGCTCAAACAAGATTAAAAACACTGAACATTTAGCGCAAGCAAGTTTTACGTAAAGCTGACTTATCAGAACATTCAATGAAACTTGAGCTTGTACTAGACTTGAACGAACCGTACGACAAATGTCTTAATTTAAACAAGGCGGTGACTACTTTATACAGAAACGTGGTCCTTAGTCCTCGTGAAACCGTGTGTGGTTGACAGTCGTCTGTCTCGGGCACTCGTAGTTGATAGACGCTTCCGACCGACTCCCTGACTTGAATGTCTGGTGGCGTGGACTCAACTCTCTCGTGTCCTAAACTGAACTGTCTCGAGGAGCTGCAAGTGGTGCCACACTCGGGAACGGCGCTTGTGCGCAGGTCCAGTTGGGCATGCGCAGAGCGCCTGGCGCTGAGCAAATGGAAGCCGCCGACTCAAACGTTAGCGGGATTTACAAATTGACATTTATGTCACTGCATTGGAGCCAAATCGGCCCCTTATACTTTAAATTTAACATGTTACATTATCATTAGAGTAAATATAAACTGGAACACCGGGTAGATAGGAGATGTGGGATGAAAAGCACGCCGTTTTGGTAACCTTTCCTTTCGGCGTTTTGGTCGCCGTTTTGGACCCAACACAGATAAGTCAGTTCCTCAAGCAGTGCACACAGTTGTTAATACGCTCCTGGCTGTCTATACAATAGGTTAAGTGCAATTATAGTTGTATATTCGAAATCTGCATTAAATGCAAAATTTGACCGAATAAATATAATCTTATTTAAATTGTAATTCAAACTGAAAATATTTCAAAGCTATTACACCCTGACATCAAAAAGTTACTAAGCGAGAATTTGTTTAAAATTATTTGTCCAAAAGCAAAATTGTATCTAATGAGATGATCTTCAGCATATAACCAAGCAATTTAAAATCAAATTAGTTAGTTGTGTCTAATGGAGTAGCGGAACAAGGTTCTTTATAAATCACGCAGCGGTCCGTCCTCCCTGGTTCCGCTGATCTTTACGTTTATGTTACTCCCAGAAACGTTTTGAGTACGATAAGTACTTTTATTCAGGTCCATTTTTATTACAGGTTAGATATAACTAAATACTGTATTATAACCTTCTTGGTAAACTATTTAAACATACTAAGGTACTGTACATTAAAATATAAAATGTAGACTATATATACAGGGACAGCGACTGGTAATCCTCATTTGTTTAGTAACAATGAATCTTTTACTATCTGCTCTGTTTGGTAATTAATGAGAAACACCAAATGTAAAGGTTCAAAGCAAGAAATTGATAATGTCATAAATACTAACCTAGGAAGTATTCTACCTAACGTAAAAGGCAATAACAAACAATTGAATAATAAATTTACAAATCAAATTGTTAGGTGTGTCCTTAACAATAGGGGTGTTTTTATAATGTTACAAATACACAGTTAGTAAAAAAGTGTTTGAGTGCCAACAATTATTTTGTATATAAAAAAAATCATATCACATATAAGAGAAAATGGTTAATAACTAAACAGTATTTCTAAGAATATGTTTTACTTTCCACAATCGTGTTTAAATACAGTACAAAGGTTAACTGTACCTAAACCTAAGCTAAACATTTATTTAGCTTTACAATGATTGAGTAGCAAAAACACAAAGAATTGCCGGACTGAGGAGGTTGTGCGACATAAAATCAACCTCTTCACACTATTAATCACTCTACTACAAACAAACTACACACCTCATTGTAAATTGCTTGATGACATATGTTGAATATCATCTCTTCAACTAAAGCTTTGTCGCTTAAAGTTTTCTTATGGCCCAAAAATAAAATATTTCCTCGCATACTAACTTTATCATGACACAATGTGAAAATCCTTATCTCTTTTTAACCATGGAAATTCTAATTCAAATTACCATTGAATTCTGCATTTAAGGCAGATTCTGAATATATAAATATTATTGTAGGCCTACTTAATCTTTGTAATTGAAGGCTAGGAGCGAGTTAACAACTTTGTGCACTATTCAATGAATTGGCTCATCTCCGCTGGGTCCATCATAGTGGTGGGGGAAGGCTGCCACAAAGCTTTTGTGAACTCATACTTAGCGTTCCAGTTGTATTATATTTACTACGATGGTTCTTATTAAGGCTTCAAAGAAGGGCAATCTGAATTGTATTTTCTATTCATAAACAACAGTCATGCAGAGTTTATTTCAGATCATTTTAGAAATGGAAATGTTTATAAATGGAAAACTGAACGATTTGGGTTTTTGGAGCGTTCAAGATGAGTTAATTTTCTTCATTTTAAATTTTAACCCTACACCCTAGAAACATCTTTCCACAACAAAAATATTTCCTTTTTTCATCTGCAATAAACTTAAGGTATCCAGTTTGCAGTAAATCAAATCTACCAATTCCTTGGCATTCCACTTCTTTCTTTGAAAGAAACTTCCACTACAATTCCGTAAAATTTTTTAAAAGTCTTCCACTTCGACTGAAAACCCAACAAAATTTGGAAATGTTGGAATCTCAAGTCCATGTTGTTGGGCAGAACCTTCTACAGCAACCGTTAATACTTCAGTATTCACTCAAAATGCCTGTAAATATGTGTACATGTATAGTTTATAGTTATTTATAGTAAGAATTAATTGGTTACATTATGACAAACTCCATTTATCTTGTTGTTGTATTGACTTGGATAATGCAAAATATTTTTGATCCAGCCCAATATTGACTTATTACTTTTATAATCAGGAATTGTTTTTTAGGAAATTAATGAAACCCTCCATCCAAGAAAAATAATGAATTTACCACTTGAAAAAGGCACTGGTACATTTGTACTTTTTTTGGTTCTGTTATTCGTTACTGTTTCTGAATGCAAAAGCAAGAAGACTCCTCGCATCGGTAAGTAGGAAGGCCCTGTGAATATTTACTTAAAGTCGGGACCATGTATGCAGTTTAGGGAGGAGCCTATTTACCACTAGACTTCGAAGGATCCAATGAGGACAGTGCGGTGTTGCCAAATCTAACAATACCAGCTGATTTAAAAATATTGTTTGGTATTGTAATTAGTGTCGTCAACGGGCGATATGGCAACGTCATATGGCTATATCTTATGATTGGCTGCCGCCAACTGCAAACTTTCATGGTCCCGACTGTAAATAGTCAGTGATTTCTTTAGCTAAGCAAGCGTATAAAGTAAACTGTTCCTAATGGTTTCCACCTTCCAGTAACGTGTCAATCGACCATTTTGTAACTAAATTTTTAATATTTTCTGATCCGGAATTAATAAATTATTTGTTATCAAGGTTATACCTTACCCCCCAGATTGGCTGGCTCCCCTATGGAAAAGATAGATTGACGACCTATCTCCCTGATCTTTTCCGTCATGAAATGAGATTTTTAAACATAACAGAACTTCCAGTTAGGTTTGGTTGGATAGAATAGCTTTGCTTTAATATATATTCACTTAAATATATATTAGAATCAGTACTTAGTTTTTGTTTACATGTCGTTGTGTAGTGTTTTAATTTGTTTTGCATCACATGTGACCTTTCAAGTCTTAGTAGCCGCAAGAACTTGGACTCAGCCCAACCACTATCTGAACTGTTCAATAGACCTTAAATTAGTAATCTCAGACTCTTTCCTACAAAAACTGATTGCATTTTGAATTCTGTGTGCAGATTACTGTAGGCTAAGTAGACATGTAAAAATAAAATGTTTAATCAGTGAGTATATCCAACTTGTACTTTTAATCCAAAGGCAATTTAGTTTCTATATTTTTCTGACAGCTCTACAAAATATATTTCATCCAGTTCAGTTTAAGTTTAGTTTTGAAACAATTGTTTTTGTTACAGCAATTATCGGGGGAGGAATAGGTGGAACCGTTTGTGCCTATGAGCTTTCAAAACTTGCTACAAAAAGTGGACATGACATCAGTTTGGATTTGTATGAAGAGGCAGAGATTGGCGGAAGGTTAGCTACGACAAACATAGATGGACATGAATTCGAGACTGGTGGATCAATAATTCATGTTGAAAACAAGCACATGGCAAACTATGTAGAATCAAATGGTAAGTAGATTTTCCATATCTATTCGGAATTTTAAATTTAAATAACAATATCAGACCATATGTTTTTGACTGATTTACTATCAGAGATGAAACCACTAAGAGTAAAGTACTAAAATAATCTTCCTGTTAGCCCTCCTGAATTTTTAAGAGCCATTTACAAAAGAACTGCAACTGTGATACAAACCAGGGCCAACAATGTACATACCCCTTTCTGGGTTTAAGTCTACATGCTACATGATGAGTGAACCCACAATTTCAGTGTAGTACTGTTTTGTCTTTCTAAAAGTATTTAAAAATACAGTCGCATTTGTAACTCAAGGGGATACACATGTTTACCCACTTCTAGAAGTGGCAGGGACCTGAAATTTGACACAATTGTAAATCTTGAACAGTAAGTCCTATCTAAACACAGATATCACCATCCACCATCAATAAAAAAAAGTACAACTTTGATCATTATCAATTTGTTTGTATCTTCACTCCTTAGAACCACTTAATAAGTCTTTACATAGGTAAGTGACAGCCTATTGGTGGACAGTGTTGGTAAGTGGTTGTGAATCAATAGTTCAATATATTAAGTATAGTACTTAAAATATAGAATTATTGATCCATTTCCACTGATTTAAGCTGTTCCTGGGAACACAATAGGCCCGATAGAAAAGCGAGATACTTGACAATTAGCAAGATTTTAAGTCCTTAACCTTATCTTAATAATAATCTTAAGATCAATCCAAAGATAATCTTAAGATTAATAATTTTTAATCTTGGTTAAATTCCTTTACCCAAAATACCGGGTGTCCACAAAGTCTTGGTATGATTTAATAGCTTTGCTGTACGAAAACCATTAGAGCCACACTTAACTTGTATGCCTTGCTTGGAAGGGAATTTAATCAAGTTTTATTTAATGAAATTGGTAACACCTAAACACAGCAGATACAGTTATGATTCAATACAATAACAAATCAAAAATGGTGAGTTTAAAAGAGAAATCACAGTTTGTTTTGTTGTTTCACGAAACTCAATCCCCTATATCAGTTCATCGACTATCCATTTAAGTGGGAAGACACAATAGATAGAACAACAACAACCAAGAACAACAACAACAACAACAACAACAACAACAACAACAACAACAACAACAACAATAGAATGAAGTGGATAGACACAATAATTGTAGAATTTGGGGAAGTTAAAATCCCAGGACTGTGATTGAAAATTAAAGGGCCAGTCCAAAATTAAATCTTTGGTGAGGTGTAATGCATGATGGAATCATTGGATAATTTTTCTTAGTGGAAGAAAATGTAAATGGGTTTGTTTACTTGGTAATGTTGGAGTTTTATATAGTCTCTCAATTATAAGAACTGCAACTTATGAAAATTTTCCAGCAAGACGGCGCTCCGCCTCATTGGGCGAAATGTGTGAGGGATTGTTAAAATCTTCACTTCCCCGGTCGCTGGATCAGGCGTGATGGCACGACCAAATGGCCACCTCGTTCCCCCTATGGGTTTCTTTTTGTGGGTATTTGGCAAGGACACTGTTCATTCTTCCTCGGTTCATAATTTACACACACTTGCGGGAGAGATTCGGGAATTGTGTGGCGTCTGTAACCCAGGATATGCTGACTAAAACCTGGGACAAAATGAAAAGACGTATAGAAGATCTCACGGCCACTGGAGGCGCACACGTAGAGTTGTGTTACATTTGTACATAGTTTTAAAATCTTAAGACATTACCTGTTATATCTGTAAATAGATCTTTATCCTACTATCACTCGTTTTCATACTATGCGGTTTCCTTATCAGACCAAGACTTTGTGGACACCCTGTATAAGAGGAATGGTATTGTAAGGCCTCCTTGTATAAAAACCCCTTATACACTTAGAGATCTTTTTCAGACTTTGTACGATTGTTAGTTTTGTAAACTAACAGTTCTCTGATTTGCTGCGGCACTAGTATATTCTGATCCTAAATTATGCTGTAAAATACTAATAAGCATTATATTTAATTTTAGCCTCCTGATTGCATTTAAATACTGTACTAATAATTGGTGTAAATACCTGCATTTATGCGATCAAATGTGTTGCTAAATTGCAACCGGTTTTGACTCACATAGGCGTCATCGTCTTTTCACCTTATTCGAAAATTGTCAATTAATAATAAATAAATAAATAGAACTCGCACACGTACATGAACATAAAAACGAACATTTACCCTTGGTTTTTAATCTTAAATGTTGTTGACTTTTCTTAAACTTCGGGATGTGTAAAACATTCTATACATTCCATATTGAATTCGTCAAATACCGTTGACAGTACGCTGCACCACTGGGTGGCAAAGTGATAGTTCTGTCCGAAAATGGATAGGCCTAAGGATTATGATGAATCTCCCTTGGTTATATGTAAAGAAATTGTTGAAACCACTATAAATCGACATTAATCATTAATTTCATAACTTATTTCATGAACTCATAGGCAGCCATTGGTGAGGAAGGACAAATCACCTGCAAGCTTTGAATTTTAATAATTGTTGATTTCTGAAGAAACCGTTGGGTGTGTAAAAATTGTTAAACTAATGATTGCAGAAGAGCTGATTGAATAAATTTTCCCTGTTGAAAGTGTTTTCCTAACGCAAAAATTAAAAATACTCACTTAGTACCTAATGAAGTTAAATTCAAACTGTAGTCCCTCTCTATGTTTGCTGGTATAAAAACAATTCACTTCATTTGAACTAAAAACTGCTTTAATTGATTTTACAGTTAATGCAAAATGAAAGGATGTAAGTTTCACACAAAAAATATATCGTACAAAGGTAGGGAAGCGTGTAAAGAGAAAGGTATTTCGCTGGCCTCATAAATAATGGTAACGGGCCCAACTTTCGCTGTGACGTCACTATATCAAAGGCGGGAGCCAACATCTGTATTTTATACTTGGTGGAACAGAGTCTCAATCTATGGAACACATATTAGAGGATTGCTGTCTTATAGCTTTCCCTGGAGGATAGCTGTGATCTTTAAAACACAAGTTAATTGGCTCTTTGATGAAGGATCTTGTTTTGCATTTAGTATATTTCATTAATTTTAATTGCATATTTTAAACTGAACCAAAGAAGATACTCTCTACTATTAAATACATTAATAATAAATACGGCAGCTGTCCGAAAAATTCATGTATAGAATTTATGATTGTGAAATGTTGTCAAGGTTGGCTGTTCAATATCTAAGCATCTGTTCAATAGGATGTCTTTCAAAATAAAAGTCCAAAGCACTGTAAATCTCAACTCTTGTACTATTCTCATTTTCTAACCACAATTTCCCGTTTTACAGGGCTTAAGTGGAAATCAGTACCAGCTGGTCATAGCACTAAGGATGACTTTGGGTTCTATGACGGAAAAGAATTTGTATTTGTCTCAAGTGAATCAAATATGTGGAATATAATTGACTTGATATGGAGATATGGCTTTGACATAGTTCGGTTTGTCATGTCTGGAGATGTGAAAACTATGATGTCTCACTTCAAAAGGTACTTTTTATTTGTTTTTAACAAAATAACATAACATGTACACAGCTTGGTTGATCGAATCTTTTTAAAAATCTTTACCTCAGCTTTAATACATTATCATCACAAGAATAGTCTATTGTATCAACATTCACAGGCAGGTCCCAGCTGAGTAATGTCGGATTACACACATAATCATTTTAGAAACCATTGCAAATAATTTTAAAATAATTTACATAGTAAAGTTTCCCCATTGTTAACACGTTCGCTACTGCAATAGTACGAAATTTTCCATTCACATGGACCAGCGACGCACATATGCAACGGCCGGTTTCCACCCATAGACTGCCGTCGCATATAAGCGACGGCTAGTCACATTAAAATAGACTGCCGTCGCATATTTGCGTCGGGGTTCTAATGTTATTAAAATGCTTATATCTTTGTAGTGGTCTATTTGAAGGCACTGAATTCCCTGCAGTGGTCTACAGAGATGTCTGACGCACAACTGCGTCGCTTGGTCTGTGGATATGATGATTGGGTGACGTCATATAATAGTTGGAAAAACTGGTCTTTACTTTTCTGCATCACTGTATGTATGTATGCTGCATTATCCTATGTAGCTTTTATATTTGTTCAGTTATAAACTGTTCTTGAATAATCTGTTTATTTTTTTTACTTACTTTCACCTTAAAACACAAAAAAATGAACTGTCGCATATATGCGACGTTTAGTCTATTTCAATAAAACTATGATAATTTTCACTATTGTCTTCGTTGTAGACCGGACGTCGCAAATATGCGACATTACAAAAGGTTATAAAAAAAACAAAAAAACGAGAATAATTTATTTACAAACACGATTGTAGCGTATTACAATGTAAATGACCACTGTTTTACAGGTTTTCGCGCGTGGTCTGTGTGTACTGTTATCCAAGTGACAGCCGGTCTATGTGTAAGATTCAAATGTATACCTCGGTCTGTGGCAATGACCGCGGCGTCGCATATATGCGACGCTCAGTAGCGAACGTGTTAAACCTGTTCGATGCCTTCATTTTGTATTCAACTGAAACCAAAACCATCATCACAAATAACATAAAAATTATTGACGAAATTAAAAGCTACTACTGTAACTGTAGATTAGTGGGTGTCCCATAATAGTCCCCCCCTGGTTAATTTTTAAACGGCTGCATGTATTCTAACGATCTTTGATACACGTTACTAGGGTAATGTAAAGTACTTTTTGGGGGTATTTTGAAATTCACCCCTCACCCCTTAATAGGGGTTGTTGGGGGTAACTTATAGACCTAATATTTAAATAGCAACCCATATTAAGTAGCAAATCGTTTTAAAGGCCATTAGTTAAAAAGAATATTGGCGAAAACCAGAGGTCTCAATCTCAATCCATTACAGAATGGCGGCCATTTTTATTTTTTATCAGCCTAAGAGAGCCCATGTAAAAATATCCACCAATATCAGCGTTTCTATGGTTTGTAAAAGGGAATCTAAACTCATTATTATTGTAACAATAAAGTAAAAACTATCTTTTGATCAGTTCCAATTTTGCCCGGGACCCCAAAATGGGGTATTTTGGGGGCAGCTCAAAAAAGCCCCATCAAGCGACACCTCATTTTAAAGGCCATCAGTTAAAAAGAAAATCGGTGTAAACTAGATGTCCCTATCTCAACCCAATCCAAAATGGTGTCAGTTTTTAGCTTTCATCAACCTCAGAGACCCCACATAAAAATACATTATCATTTTCCAATATTAACATTTTATTAGGTTGTACCAGGAAAGCTTATGCCTTGATAAAAAAAAGTGTACTTATTAGTTGGTATCACAATTTCCCCTGGGAACTAAAAAATTAAGCATATTGGGGCATCTCAAAAGTGTTAAATGTAATGACTGAAAACTAAAAACTGCCGCCATTTTGTACTGGGTTGAGGTAGAGACTTTTGGTTTTCGCCAATATTCTTTTTAACTGAAGACTTCAAAATGAGGTGTCACTTGACGGGGCTCTATATTTAAAAAATGTTGAGCTGCCCCCAAGAGATGCCGTGAGCAGTTGTCAAACTGTGTAGTATACAGCTTTCTGAAACTGTCGGGAAGTACAGTCAATCTGTTTAAAGCCTGGCACATCAATCCTGCTTTCATACAGTCTTGGCAAAAAGGGTTTTCTCAACATACCAACTACGGTGTACAGTCATACCACACGAAAATATAAAAATAGTTAGTGATTTCACGGAACTGAATCGTCCACAGAGAGGGTCAAATAAACAAAAAATCAGATAATCATGACTATATCGTTCATTACTATCTAAATATTTAGTTTCATATCAGAAAACAAAAAAAATCTTGTCGAGCATAAAAATAACAATAAACTCAGAGAAATGTTGTGTAAAATTATTTTCAATAAGTATCTTTGTTATGGCTATCGATCTAGATATGTATAGTCCAGGATCTGAAGGAGGTTGATTATGCATGGAAAGGCTGAAGCAATTTTATTTCTGATTGTTGTTGTAAACACTATAGTGACCATGAAAACGCATGTTGTCGCCCCCTAGCTTGGTCGACATCCCTGGGGGGGGGGGGGGCAATATGGTGGGGCGCCGTTTACTAAAACGCGTATAACTGGAGAACCGTTTGAGATAGAACAGTGCAACAAGTGCCAGTTTACTCATAAAAATATGAGCTTAAAAAATGGTTATTATGTTTAAATCTGTATCTTTGGATGGTTTTTTTAGTTATAAAGATTTCTTATAAAATATTAAATAGATTAGCTAAAAACCAGTTTTTAATTATACAAAACATAAAATTTAATGAAGAAATTCAAGCGGTTACATTTTTAACAGATTAGAGGTGTCATTAAATAATACTGAAGATAGACTGTGGCATTGACCAGTGACAACATACGTCGTTTAACAAGTACATGGGATTTATAGTTTTCATTATTAATTTTTATTAGGATTTTTAATTACTTGGTACAAATAATTGCTTAATAACGATTTACAGAGAACGTTTTCTTCAATTTGCATGAATTTATTACCTTACAACCGATGGGGATTAACCTCCAAAATATGTTTCTTTAGAACAATATATACATCACATCATCCGATCAAAATTACTCATTACTTTGCTTAACAAACTCGGATATTGCACCTGTTACACGTGCCTGAAGATAATTAAAAGTCAAGCAGCTAGGGATATTATAATGACAAATTAAACTGAAAGTGTACCCACAAATATACTTCGTGATCCTGGCCTTTTTCTTCACAAAGCAGTAAGAATGATGACTGCAACGGGGAAACATAAGATGGGAAAATTACAACCTATGTCACAGCAATCATGGTGGTATGCCAGACATCAATCTGACCATGACCAACACTCAAACCACATTGAAAGAACGCCTTCACCTCAAACAAAATTTGACTGTACTAATATTATGCCGTACAACAAAGTAATGGAATGTACCAGAAATCAAAAACAAGCAATTAGTTTATCCACAGAATTTTACAACAAATGTAAAAGGATGTGCTCTTCTGTTTTTTCTTTATAATGCAGGGCTTCCAGCTAGCCTGTATGGGATTTGTAAAAAACCGGGCAGTTTAAATGTTTGAACTTTAGCCAAAAAGCTGCCCTAAATCCCTGACTTTTATCGTTTTGCGTAGTTGAAAATAACAAACGCAAGTAACCATAACTAATAACCTTCCTTTCCGCGATTCTAAGATGATCTCAGATGCAAGATCCAAAAAATAGTCACAGAGACTGAAAAAAATTGCAGGAGACGATTCCGATCGTATGAAATAATCTCAGGAGTGGTTTATGATCGCAGTATATTAACACAGTTATTGCCGTGATCGGGAGAAATTAATTTAAGTTTTTGACATGATCGCTGAGGTGATCCATCACATATATTCGACATAACGACAAGGGTGTTGCCGCGATTACAGGTAATTATCACACATGTTGCTAGATTACAGGAAATCATCACGGATTTGCCGCAACCTTTGGAAATCATTCTAAATTTCGTCTTGATCAAAAGATTGCCGATTTCACTGCGATTGTGAGAAGTTATCAGGATATTCGCTGAAGGGTTTTTAAAAAGTACTAGCTGGTATGTTGAACATAGAAGACCTGAAACTGTCCCTAACTTTTATTTTGACGAAACACTGTGCACCCTGTCCCCATACACAGTCAATATTAATGCACAACTTTTCACAATGTACAATATTATTGAGGTAATGGGCTAGCTATATTAAAAACAAAAATCTGATTTTGCAATACGTCGATTGAATAAAAGTTTTTTGAAAATTATTGCACAATCTGCAAAATATTGTATAGTGTATCAGTAGACAAACATAAAATTAAAATAATCCCAACTCATCATAGATTAAAATTGTACAAGAAAAAAACCCAACATATTCAGGAAAGAAATTCTTTGTATATTTACCAAAAAGATAAAGTCTGAAAATAAGATTGAAATTTTTAAAAACTCAAAGAATTCATAATAAACAAAAAAATGTATTCTTTGGATGAGTTTTTCCACCTTTGTTCACAAGAAAACTAAAAGTGTGGACGAATTGTGTTAGATAGTTAAGGTTGGAATACTGATGTATTTTTAATGTAAATAATTGACACTATTTATATGTGCCATTATTAAGCAACTATTTGTACCAAGTAATTCAAAATCCTGATAAAAATTAATAATGAAAACTATAAATCCCATGTGTCTAAACGACGTATATTGTTACTGGTCAATGCCACAGTCTATCTTCAGTTATTATTTAATGACACCTCTAATCTGTTAAAAATGTAACCGCTTAAATTTCTAAATTAAATTTTATGTTTTGTATAATTAAAAACTGGTTATTACCTAATCTATTTAATATTTTATAAAAAAATCTTGGTAACTGAAAAACCATCCAAGATACGGATTTGAACATAGTAATCATTTTTAAAGCTCATATTTTTATGAGTAAACTGGTACTTGTTGCACTGTTCTATCTCAAATGGTTCTCGAGTTATACAAAGATACTCAACCCCCTTCAGATCCTGGTATATATACAGTATATATAATAGTAATACAGTATATGAAATACTGTAAATAGAAATATGCAAAAGAAGGTTGTACAATGTAAGTAGGTACCTGTAATGTTCGTACTCACTGAAATATTTCTTAACACTACTTAAAGCACTTGTAAGACCGGGGTAAAATAAGAAGGCGCATTGTAATGAACTGAATACCGCCGGTTGACATTAAGGAGTGATGGAGCGTTACATAGTGAAGCCGGTGTATGTAGCGGGCAACTGAGGCCGAGGAGAAGCATCATATGGGACAGGTGGGGAATAGGACGCTATCTGTGATTGGTTTATGTTCAACCAACGGTATTAATTTATTCAAGTGAACATCACTGTTACCAATACAAATATTAAATGTGTAAATCAATATGCATGTACCTATAATATTTTATCACTTATCAGTTTATTTTTTATTTACTCTCTTGATCATATTTTCTTTTTTCTTTTGTGTTTACGATTCAACAAGGGCAAAAAACATTTGAAGAATATTGCAGCCATCTTTATCTTTGGATAATTTATTTGGTTTTCATGAACCAAATAGTACCAACTTACTGCTGTACCAATACAGGTTTTTTTTTTAATTTGTTTTTCAGAATTTATGAAGCTCAAGATAAGCATATTGCATTTAACAATGTGCATAGCCTGTTGTCATACATGAATAAGGACTTTCCTCATCTCATGAAAGTAGAACTGAAAGAGTACCTAAAATCAAAGGGCTTCAGTGATCACTTTATTGATGAATTTATATACGTTGCTATCAATGTTAATTACAACCAGAATACCAACATTCCTGTGTTTGTAGGTAAGTGATCTATATAAATATCATAGATTTGTCTGTAAATTTTGCAGAATCATGGAGTTTTTGGTTATTTTTAAGTTTTATAGCTAAATAGCAAAACCATGTCTTATCTCCTCAATTCTTTCTTTCTCATTGTGTCTGTGACGCCAACATGCCAATTTTTACACTGCCCACTCCGGTAAAACCAGAGCACTGACCAAGATAACATTCTTTATTCTGTATTCACTGGATTAGTGAGAATGTCTCAAGCTATAAAAACATGGCCTAACCTAATCAGAAAATTAAATAAAAAGTGTTAAAAAATCCAGTTTTGTGCGATATTGGTCACGTTTTCTCCTTGGGTGCTTTTTATGATGTGATCGCAACAGATGTTCACGGATGGCTACTGAAATAGCTTTTTTTAATGTATCAATCTTCGGCTTAGACTCAGCACTGTTGGTACCGAAATACCCATAACAACATTCCAACGTTGATTCTTGGAGCTGATACTTTTCCCGATCGGTGGCTAGAATCACTTTTAGGTACTGGCACATTACTATTAACAACTTAGTTATTGTTGGTATAACACCTATCCATATCTTACACTCATATTATATTTATTTGTTTTCCTACCATAAAGGGTTTGGTTTTTCAGGGAATGTGTAACTTTGAACTAAAGAGCTCAATAATTATCATGCATGTAATACAGTTTTTGTGTAAATATGTTCTGAAGTTTATAGTATGAAAATTTAAGCACATATTAAAAATACCTCTGCCGCAGCAAACCTGCAGACTCAGCGAATTACCATTTAGCTGGTTTAATTTTCAATTAAATCTATTTCAATAACATTAGGTTTAAAGAGTACCTAGGTTTGCTGCTACAGGGAGAGTAATAAAGTGTGTTTTTTGGTAAAACATCAAAAGCTTCGTATAAAATAAATTAGATTTGCCAAATTCGATCAAAATATATCCATAAACAAGCAAACTCCACCATTTACTTATTGTTTATAAGAATAACATGTGAATTTTAAATTTACAATTTTTAGAATTTTCTCCATAGTCAATAACCATACATAAACACTTCAAAATACTAAATAATTTGTTTTGTATGCTCTACGGTCTAGAGTCTACACAATAGTTTGGAAAGGAATTATAAACTTTTTTTAAGGTCGAAAATGAAGAAAACCCATTTTTACCCCATAAAACCCCCCATAAACCCACATTCCCATAGTCCGACCAGTTTGCTGGTTCGCAAACTCGTTTGAATGCATGTAGGTTTACAGGTTTAAAGTACCAAATTTCATCAAAAACGGATAATTTTTTCTCAAGTTATCGTGCTAATGGATATATATATATATATATATATATATAAGTTCCCTTATTTGTGAGCATTTCACAGAAAATACTAGAATACTGTTGTTAATGATTATGTTAATTGGTACACCTATGCAATGGTGAGGTGGTATTTAGCTACTCATAACCAGTGTGGAAAGTAGCCCTCAATTTTATTTCAGGGCTTTGCTTCAAAGATCTTTATAGATGCTGTTTCATTTCAAAATCATCAGATACCAACTATAGGTAACACCTTTATTACCTACTTAATATCTTGATGGTGTGGCCTCTGGATCGTCTGAATTAACGTATAGTGGTTTAAATTACATTGTTCTGTCCAAAACGACCCTATGTAGTTCGTAGTGACTACAGCTGTTTCGTGCTGCAGGAGCACATTTTCAGGTCAGGAGAATGTCAAGCAGTCATTAGATATTCCTCATGGTGGAGCTCTTCAAAAGTTTATAGTAAATAAATAAATATATAGACACAACATAAAAACACAAAAACACGAGACTGAACATTTAACACTGGTCGACCAGACGGTAAAGAAACACGTGATACGGCACCGGTTGAGGGCAAGTCGCGACTGTCACATGTCATCAGCGTTGACCCCCGCCCCTACTCCTATGATATCCTTATCTCATTCTTTTGTTGTCTTTCTATTATGAATTTGAATGGCAGTGTTGTAGATAATGTTAGACTCATATGATAATTTTTCGTTCAATATATGCTGTGGGTGTTCCTTTGACGCCTTGTAAATTTCATACTCTTCAACTGTATCCATGTATCGGCCTTTATTACAGAACTGTACTATTTCTAAATTATTGTGAATATCAGTGTAATTGTGGTTGTAGGAAATTAGGTGGTTTGTGTACGCTGATTTGGAATTTGTCTTAGGCTTGTGTTCCTTGAACCTGGTAGAAAAAGACCTTGAAGTCTGGCCAATGTAAAAATTGGGGCAGTCGTTACATTTAAATCTGCAAATTCCTGTTTTTTCCATTCTATTAGTTTCAGGTTGGCTCCTCTCTTTGACGATGGTTTATTGTTTATTGTTAGGTTTATTGTTAGTTTTAAATTATACAATAACGTCATTTTTAGCCAATTCATTTACTAGGGTGTGGTTCAGTACAACACCGTAGTTAGCGCTGACGTATCTTTTACTGCTGTCTTGTGGTCTGTTATTGTTTTTATTGCGTTGCCTATTAATCAATTTGTAGATCAAGGAATTATTGTAGCCATTTGCGACTGCTATATGTTTTACAATATTTACTATATCGTTGTAATCAGTGGGACTCAGTGGGATGGAAAGTAAGCGGTGGACGAAACTATTGTATGCGGCAGTTTTATGGTTATGTGGATGGTGTGATAACAAATGAATTGTCTGATCTGTGGTGGTTGGTTTTCTGTAGATTTTAAAATTTAATTGGTTATCGCTTCTGGTAATGGTGACTTCTAGGAAATTAATTGATTTTGTTTCTTCAATTTTAAGGGTGAACTGCAAGTTCTTGTGAAATCTATTCAGGTATGTATGGAGAAGGTTGATTTGCCTCTCACTACGGTTGAATAAGATGAGGGTGTCGTCCACGTACCTACTATAGTGGATTATTCTATTGAGATTTCGGTTGGAATCGGACCAAAGATGTTTGTTTTTGACATGGTTCAAGAATACTTCAGCGAGTATACTTGAAAGCGGTGAACCCATTGTTAGTCGCTCGTTCTGGATATAATACTTGTTCTCAAATTCGAAGTAGTTTTGCTTCAGGACGTTTTGGGTTAAGATAACCAGTTCTTGTTTTGCCTTTGTTGGTAGTGAAGAATGTTTGTCCAAATTGTTTTTAAGTAAAACCATTGTTTCATTAATTGGAACGTTAGTAAATAGATTGACGACATCAAAAGATGCTAGACTAGAATGTTTGTATCATTGTATCATATTGTATTGTAGAATATTGTATCATTTAAAAAAACTAACAATAAACTCTCAACCATCGTCAAAGAGAGGAGCCAACCTGAAACTAATAGAATGGATAAAAAAAGGACTTTACAGATTGAAATGTAACGACTGCCCCAATTTCTCTGCTTCACATTTTCATTCAGTTTTATTTTGCTTCAGTTTTACATTGGCCAAACTTCAAGATCTTTTTACGCCAGGTTCAAGGAACACAAGCCTAAGACAAATTCAAAGTCAGCGTACGCAAACCACCTAATTTCCTACAACCACAATTACACTGATATTCACAATAATTTAGAAATAGTACAGTTCTGTAATAAAGGCCGATACATGGATACAGTTGAAACATGGAATTTTCATGGAAACACATGGAAACATTTTAGCCTTTGCAGATGATTTAGTTTTGATGGCAAAAACCAAACAAGACTTAATAGACCTCACAAAATTACTAGTTTTAAACACAGGAAAAACAGGATTAAAAATAAATGACTCAAAGACTAACTATATGATAGTAGGGAGGACCCAAGAAGACCTTAGGGAAGATGATTTTCTGGAAGTTGGAAGCCACAGATTTAGAAGAGTAGATACATTTACATACCTGGGTACCGTAATATCAGGACAAAGCAAAGAAGATCTAGAAGTACAGAATAGACTAAATGCCGCAAACAAAAGTCTCTATGCCTGCAATAAATTAATGAACTCAAAATTATTATCCCACACAACAAAATTACGTCTGTATAAAACAATAATCCGACCAGTAATTTTATATGGCTCAGAGACTTGGATCCTGAACAAAAAAGAAGAAAGAAAAATAATAGTTTTTGAAAATAAAGTATTGAGGAAAATATTTGGCCCAACGCTAGAAAATGGAGAGTGGAGGAAGAGGCACAACCAGGAAGTAAGAGAAATGTACAAAAATGCAGACATCATCGGAGAAATAAGAAGTAGGAGACTAAAATGGGCAGGACACATACTAAGAAGAGATGAAGAGTCAAACCTGAAGAACATTCTGAGGGGAACACTAGAGGGACGAAGACCCAGGGGACGACCAAAGACTAAATGGTGGAACCAGGTGCAACAAGACATGAGGCGGCTGGGAATTGGAGAGTGGAGAGGAGGATGCTGAGGAAAGAGACAGATGGAGGCGCTGTGTTGCTGAGGCCAAGTACCGACTGGGGTACAAATGGCCAGGGCAGTAAGTAAGTAAGTAAGTAAGTACATGGATACAGTTGAAGAGTATGAAATTTACAAGGCGTCAAAGGAACGCCCACAGCATATATTGAACGAAAAATTATCATATGATTCTAACATTATCTACAACACTGCCATTCAAATTCATAATAGAAAGACAACAAAAGAATGAGATAAGGATATCATAGGAGTAGGGGCGGGGGTCAACGCTGATGACATGTGACAGTCGCGACTTGCCCTCAACCGGTGCCGTAACTTGTGTTTCGTTACCGTCTGGTCGACCAGTGTTAAATGTTCAGTCTCGTGTTTTTGTGTTTTTATGTTGTGTCTATTTATTTATTTATTTACTATAAACTTTTGAAGAACTCCACCATGAGGAATATCTAATGACTGCTTGACATTCTCCTGACCTGAAAATGTGCTCCTGCAGCACGAAACAGCTGTAGTCACTACGAACTACATAGTGTCGTTTTGGACAGAACAAGGTAATTTAAACCACTATACGCTACTTTATATTATATTACCTACCTATGTAACACGGCTGAGATGAACACTTGAATTAACTCACTTAAATCTAGGCATACAAACAAGCAGTTTTAACATCCACCTAGCAAAAATACAGCAACAACACTGTCATAGTGGAAGGAAAATTTTACGTGAAATGCGGTCGTGAGGAAGGGTTTGTCTGACCCAGGGATGGGAAGAAATTCATTCTAAAGTCAGTGGCAATGTCTCAGTCCAAATACCCCGCAGAAAATACCCTTTAAGTTTTGCCCAAACCATATCTATGGGATTGAAAAGGCAGTGATACGGCAGCTGTCTGATCACAGTGTGCCTCAGCTCAGCTGCTTTAGTGTCGATCATGTATTTCGGCTGAATTGGCTTGTGTGGTTTCACAACTTCATACCTACTGCTCCATCTTCCGTTGATCAGTGCTGTGAATAATGTCCATTTCTTACTACTTTACCGTTTCCCATTTTGTGGAGCTTGAAGTAGGGACTTGATCTGTAATCTATGAGTGGTAAGGAGTAAGAACATCATCCATTACGATGATACTGGACGTCCTGAAAGGTGGCTGGTAGTAGTACCCCGAAAAACCAACCTTCAAAAACCTCGCCATTCATTTCCTTGTAGTCACACGTCATAGACTTTGAAGAGGTGCATTTATTTAACGTTCATGTTCTCCTGTATGGCAAGCAATTAATCTTTTCCCCTTACCTAGTGGAGTTTACAAGGCGCCTTCAACACTGTCATCTGTACATCCTTTTTAAGAGTATAATAGAGGGCTAAGCCAGCCAGGTTAATGGGCTAAACATCGGGAGCAAACGTCAATAAAGCAAAGGAATATCGGCCCGCTAACCAACGATTTTCTTTTGGCGCTGTAAAATTAGTGGTAATTTTAATAGTTATGCAATAATAGCTGTATTTAGAAGAAGTTCAGTATTCCGGCATTGGTAAATTATCGAACCCCTTTATTTAGAAGAAGTTCAGTATTCCGGCATTGGCAAATTATCGAATGTGTGGGATTAGCCTCTTCTGTACAGCCTAATGTGAATCCTGTCCAAATTCACCTCGTCTTTACCTCCAATCATTTCTATCTTTGACCTATCATATCAAGCTTATCACATTTGATTGTTCTTTTTCTGCATCGTCTAAATTTCCTTTGTGGTTTTTACCACTTTTCTCACTCCAATGTCTATTTGTAACTTACCTCGGGTGTCTACCTTTCATACATTCACTACACAAGCTCTAACTATCAGTCTTATAGCTTTAACACAACAATGCAATGTTGTTTTCCTACAGTTACCTAACAATGTACATGTTCTCTCACTGATTTGAGAAAGCAAAGTGGCCAATTCGCTCATCAGTGAGACAATGTTAACATTGTCTCACTCTAATTACTTTGTCTCACTCCAGATTTTCAACGTGAAGGCCCGGAAATAGTGAGCGCGTAACATGCAGGCAACGTCGTATGCGCGCGAAATACGTTGGCAGCACTGGCTGTAGCTGTAAATCAGCTGGTCAGCTGTTGTACTGTTGTATTTGTCACTTCACATTAAATGTTATATTAAAAGTTCACTTCTGTGTAAAAATAGGTTATGTTTCTTCACCAATTTATTTGTTTTATGGTAACTGTAGGAAAAGTATAATGTGCAACTCGAGTTCAAAGTACAATTGCCTCACTCGAGAAACCATTGCTCACTCGCCTACGGCTCGTGAGTAAGGATTTCTCTCGAGTGAGTCAATTGCTCACTTTTCTCTCTAGTTGCACAAATAACTATTCTTCCAACTAATTCTTTATTTTATTGCTTACCTTACTCACCATACTTCTCCAGTTGGTACACAAATTTGTCAACACATGTCTCTTACAAACCATAGAGGGGTTTATTATCTTCATTATGGTTCATGTTTCTAAACCATCATGTTTCAACCAGCCCAATTATTGCTTTACACAGCTTAGTTTGAATACAGAATTGTATTGGTTAAGTGGATGTTCTAAAGCTGAAGATGGATGTAAGTAACCTACTGGCATATTTATATTGTCGGAACGAGTTTGAAGGTAACATAACCCGTGTTACTTTGTCTCTCTTGCAGGGTCCGTGTCTATGGCAGGAGCTGAAAGTGGAAGTCTCAGAAGTGTTGAGGGTGGAAACAAACGTGTACCAGAAACTCTCCTCGCTTTATCAGACGCTAAGCTTATTAAAGCCAGAGTGGAGTCCATCACTTTAAGGCCTGACTCTACGTTTGCTTTGGCTGTAGACAACGCTTCCCACATCTATGATTACGTCGTAGTTGCCTGCCCTCTAATAGAAAGTTCTGAAAAAAATTTAAAATTTGAAAGCTTTCCAGATCTAAACATCCCACATATCAAATACCAGCAGACAGTAGCCACTCTGGTCCATGGTGAATTGAACCATACATTTTTCCATGTTGGTTCCCCTGAAAAAATGCCCAATCAGATATTTTCAGTGAATAATGCATTATTTTACAATTCTATTAGTGCTCTTACTCCTGTGGTTTTTGACCCTAAATATGATAATAAGGTTTTCAAAGTCTTTTCAAAGAATGTTCTTACGGATGAACAACTTGATCTTTTATTTGCTACTCGCAATGGTTTTACATCTATCCCCTGGTTGGCATATCCTTTGTACGACACTCAAGACCGAAACTTATCATTTGTGCTTCACAATAATTTATTTTACACAAATCCCATAGAATGGGCTGCCAGTGCGATGGAAATGAGTGCTATATCTGGAGTAAATGCCGCGTTACATATCAGTGAAAGACTGAAAAGATGAGTTTTTAAAAGATTGAACTTTTGAACTTCACAGGGATTATTCATTATGATTTAACCTTGCATATTTTATAATGTTTTCTATTTATCTTTGATTTAAACACTCAGTCTATGGCGATGTTTCTTGGTCAGAAAGACAACACCTAAGACCAATGGGCCATTGATTAGAGCTTACTGTCCACTGCACAAACAACCCCAGTTAGGCCTACCTTGGCCTCCCAGACGTACACAATGACACGACAGAGTTGCAATTTGGTTTCTTAACTACAGGGCCAATGTTTCTGTAAAAAGTTTATTTACTGGATTGTAAAAATTGACACACTAATATGTAACAATTATTACATTAGTATTTAACAATGTAACAATTATTTTTATGGGTTGCCTAATTGCAGTACCGCGGTTACAAATGGGCCCCGGTGGGCCCGAGCCCAGGGGCGCAGGAGTTTTTGTTTTGTTGGGGGAGCAAGCAACAGACGCTATTTGGAAAATATCTCTGGAATAGCACGACAGTAGAATCCTCCTCACTTCTGTTCCCACTCATGACTCATCACTGCCATTGTTTGCATATTATCATTGACTTAATCCTTTGTCTTTATTTGTAAGCTATTAATTTTTATGTAATTTTTTCATTACTCATTTATGTCAGTTGCTTTAGTCAAATCTGTAGAAGAAACATATTATCAATTGGTTAGCAAATAAAGATTTCTAGCCGAGAACATTTAGGACGGATAAATTATTATCTTTTTAAATCAACTCACATTTCACGGTTTACTTAACAGTTTTAATTTGTCAAAATCTCAATTAACCTGATACCGGAAGATACTGCGGTGTTTTTGCTTATGATTTTATTTACGTTTGACAAATGCTATTTTACGTTGTAATTTAACAGCCTTTTTCTGTGAAATGAGCAAAAAACCAAGTGGCAGTGAGTTTAGAGAGAGGGGGGTAAAAAAATTTTGGACAGTAAGAAAGTTTTACAAAAAGTTCCTAAAATAAGTAGTTTTCACAGTCATTAAAATCAGTTAGACCTAATGATTATGTGTACAGAAAGTTATATAACCCTACAAATGAACTCTGAAGATATCATTAACGAGTTTGCCAAAAAATTTAGGGAAAACCAGTTTTTTTAAGGTGTTGACTGTTTAGAGTTTTTAAATGATTGCAATTAAATCTTAATAAGTTAAAACAATTTTTTAAATTGAAACTTTTGTACAACTAAGCCCATTTTACTTTTAAGATCCCATTTTTGGATATATAAGTGTGCATGTAAGTAAAAGTTAAACTTATTGACTTATTGTATATTTAAGTGATGGTTTACGTTTTGACTTTACAATGCGGGTAATTTTATCAACAATCAAAAGTAAACACGATGAGCCTTATCTTTGTCATATCGCAGAAGCGCATGCAACTTGTAAAATGCCTATTTTCATTTTATGATTCAAATCAATGTCAGCGTGGTTGGGTACTTATGGTCTTAGTGATTAAATTATTTACTGATTTATTTAGTGATTTTACTTATTTTACTAAGATAGTTTTAGAGATAGATTCATTGTTATGCTCACGTTGTCTGTGATATGTTTATTAATTTAAGTATTTTATACCAAAATAAACAATTGATTTAAATTAATCTCTAGTATTTTTCCCGTTTTTATCCGTTAACATACAATGTGTTTTTTTTCAAACACAAACTCAGAAAACATGTATAGAAGGTAATCTTTTACGGACAAAACAAGCTTATAATTTGGCAGCCCTGCTTCCATCACTTCATTACCGCTAGGGGTCTTAATCCCAGGATCGTGGCCGGGAATACATTGGAATCCTGGGATTAACATGATTACAAATCCAATAATTTTTATAAATTTGTTGTTGACTTGAGGATTTTTAGTTGGCATGAAATGTGAAGAACACATATGATAATGCAATCATAAAGTGACAATTGGTGGATAACTAATATTTTAATAGTAACATCGATGGCCTATATACAGTTTGCTATACATACAAAAGTTTTCAAACTAAAATTAATTGAATTACTAAGAGGTTTAGTTTATCGTTGTAATTTGTTCTAGACTAATGTATTAAATAATGATTTTATAGCCCCAAACTGAGTGCTTTGTTTCCCTCGCTGCTACATGAAGAGATGTTTCATAATCTGTAAAACCTTGTGGTGGACAGTCTTATATGAGAACTTCCCCGTAAGTACATCTTTGTCCAGGGCTACGCAGATGACGTAGTCCTCATGGTACAAGGAAAATTTACTAACATTGTGGCTGATGTCATGAATGTCAACCTACAACATATTAAAGCATGGTGTTTCAGAGAAGGACTCAACATTAATCCCTACAAGACAGCCGTAGTGTTTCACCAGGAAAAAGAACTTAGATTCTCTTTCCTGGCCTAAAATTAGCACTATTCAGCTGGGAGTGTCGAGTACAGTCAAGTATTTAGGATTAACACTTGACTCCAAGCTGATGTGAAACAACCACCTGAATAACACACTGCATAAGGCCAAATGGGTGCATGACGTCCAGGAGATTTTCAAGAACCACTTAAAGAATTAAACCCCATATAGCACTCTGTCTATATGAAGCTGTGGTATACCTCAAATTACTTATGGTTCCCTAGTCTGGTGGACAAAAGTGAATCAGGAATCAGGTAACTTTCCTAGCCAAATTGGAACGCCTCCAAAGGCTTGGTACGCTTCAAGCGACTGGTTCCTTTAGGAGCAGTCCATCAGCAACTCTAAAAGTCACTCTTGGGCTGCTACCTCTAGACATCTTCATTAAAGCTGAAGCCCTCAAGGCAGCTTACCGTTTAAAGGCTGCAAGTGTGTGGAGGAAAGGCTATCAGGGACAGGCCACTGTGCTATTGTCAAAAACTGTGGCTGCATGTCCTGTGCTTGATATCTGAAGACGTCCTGAACACAGAAGCAGTTTTCAACAAATGTATCACTGTTGATCTCGGCACAAGGGATGAATGGAAACATCAGAAAGGGTAGGCCTACCTCCCAGAAACGGAGAGCTTTGTCTGGTACATAGATGGCTCTCTCACTGATGGAAAACCAGGCTTCGTGGTATACAGTTGATAGCCCAGAACAGAATGTTTTGCCAGTCTGGGACAATACTGTACTATCTTTCTGTCAGAAATCTCTGGCATCTTGGCTTGTGCTAACCTAGAACTAACCAGTCCCTACCAAGACAAGAAGATAGTGATTTTGTCTGATTGTCAGGCGGCTATTAAAGCTCTTGGCTTAATTGACTCAAAGCTAGTTTGGGAGTGTTTCAAAGCCCTCTGTAAACTTGCAACATGCCTATAACTCTTGGCTGGGTTCCGGGCCATGTAGGCATAGGTGGTAACAGAATTGCAGACAAGCTGGCAAAAAAGGTGCAAACATGCCATTCCTTGAACCAGAGCCATTCTGTTGCAAAGCAACGGCTAATCATTCAATCAATAAATGGTGCGGGGAACAACACCTTGAGAGTTGGCGTAATTATTCTAGACAATTACTTGGCAAGAAGCTGCTTTCAGAACTTAGCACCCTCTTTATTTGCTGGCTGCCAAAGCTGGGCAAAGGGCAAATCAAGGAGGTTCTTGCTCTCATCACTGGACACGTCCGTTTCAGGAAACACCTTCACACCCTCGGAATCATCAAAGACAATTGGAAGTGTTGACTTTGCAACCAGACCGATGAGACTGCAAAACACATTCTGGACTACGACAGACTTGGGGCCAGAAGAAGGGCTCTGTTTGGTCTAAATCAGCCAGGTGATAAACCAGACGCTAACTTGGGCTCATGCACCTAGTCAAGTACATGGGTTGCGAGTCCCATGCCTCTCTAAAAATAAAGTCTCTTAAAGTTACACTCGCTTAGCTGTTGTAGAGAGGTGAAAGGGTGTAATAGACATAAGACTGCTACAGATGTGACTAAATGTGTAATAAAACCAATAAATTTAGAAAACAAAGAAGTACAAAGGGTGACAACAGGAAATAAGAGCCTTGATAAACAAAGAGCAACTATTGTAAGGAAAAGATTTACAACGTTAAGTTAGAAGAAAAAAAAAATAGAAAACTTAAAAGATTGAATTAATAACAAATTATATGACTTGATTGTTTTACATCTTTATAAATTTAGTTATATTTTTTTACATACTGCTAATGGTCCCTGAAGCACACACACCAACAAACGCACTCCAATCTTCGTTGTAGTCCGCGGTAATCTCCTCCATTTTTCCTCTCAGGTCCTCCAACTCCAAGACTCGTCACCCCTACATCTTCTTCATTAGACCTTCTCATTGGCTGATTCATGACATCTCCCGATAGGGGTGTGGCTTATAGGTTAAAGTTGTTTCTCAAACGTCAGCTCTACCGGTCGCCTAGCTCACGTCACCTGGGAAAAGAATTTGAAAATCGATGCTCATGCTACTGTTCAACTTTGTTCACACCAACTAGTCGACTAAGTGTAATGTGAACAGAGTGTCTGCGTGGATGATCACTGTGGGTACAGGTTTATTCCCCTTTCTTACAGGGTATAGGCTTACCTAGTTACTGGCAAGTGGGGCATTCACAATAATCTTTGGTTGAAGTGCTGGGACCCTGAGTCTCCCCCCTCCATAATACAATGCAATCATCATTTTTGTATCTTAAACTGTTTTATTAATGCAAACAAAAGTCTTTACTGCTGCAGCTGATTCTTCTGATGTTTTAGTTATCTATACACTTAATACAGTAAGGATTTTCTCTGTAACATCTCTTTTTCTCACATCCTACTGATCTGATTTTTACGATTAAGGTGTCATTTTAAAGATTATGACCTGACAGGGGGACAACTAGTAAGGCCAAGTGATCCAAGACTCTTGATTAGCTTACCGATTTACAAGTAAAAGCCAAGACTCAACTTCGATCGGTGCCACACTTCCACTTGCTTTATTATTTTGGCTAAAATTTGTTTACTTGTTTTTCGTGTGTGTATGAGTCTCAATGTTTTAAAACTTGGTTTTTTTTTTAAACGATCTCGGAACAAAGGATAAATGATATTCGTCTAAAGAAGATGTAAATCAAATTGGTAACCTATTCAAGGATTTTGGATCACTTGGCAGATAAGATACAGGATAAACTCGTTTAAAAGGATACTCAATGGCACAACAACCTCATAAAAGCCATAACACTTAATATTAAATTAACCTCTATAATACTAGTAGGCTATTTCTATTAAAACAACCTCAATAAGACACCTTTTATCCACATCACAAGACAACTCAGTCTCAGAACCACTATGTTAAGTCGTTTTGAGAAGTCAATGTCTATAACACGACTCTACATAACTCTATAAAACAGTTCCCATAGGAATTTGCCAGGACGGATGTCTTGGAGGAAAATTGTCAATTTAGACCCCCTCCCCATTCCCCTGCGCCAACAACCATTTCTCTCCTCGTTGACACACATGACATAAGGAACACATATTAACCACAAATGCAAATTGTGAACAACAACATGCAAACAAAGAATACCCCTGCCACAGCAAACCTGCAGACCAAGCAAATTCCCATTTGCCTGAATTGATATACAATTAAATATTATTAAATAACATTAAGTAACACGTGTACCTATGTTTCCTACTACAGAGAGGCTAACAAAGTGTGTTTTTTTTTGTAAAATATTACAAGCTTAGTGTAAAAAAATAAATAAATTTGCCAAGTTTGATCGAAATATATCTATAAACAAGCAAACTACAACATTTTACAATATTCTCCAAAAGAATAACATGAGAATTTTAAATTTACAATCTTTTAGAATTTTCTCTGTAACCAATAACATGACAAAAACACTTCAATTTAATAAATTATTTGTATTTTTAACCTCTTTAAAATGGTCTAAAGAGAAATTGGGAAATTTTGTGTTTTGATGGTCAAAAGTGAGAAAAACCAATTTTTACCCCATAAAACCCAGTTCCCATCGTCCAATCATGCTGGTTCACGAACTCATTCAAGTTTATCCTGCCTTACACCTTCAAACCAAATTTCATCAAAATATAACAAAAATTACTCAAGTTTTCACAGACACATCTACATATATAAAAATTTGAACGAATAGTGTTTTTGGCCTCTGGGGACATCAAAATGAAAAAGTAAATCCACATTAACACCTTTACAGCGAAGTACTGACCACAATCACCATGAATTTGGGTCTAACATTTACATGCAAAACGAACCCCAAGCTCGAGATTTTATCGATAATACCCTTAAGAAAATTTTAACAATTAACGATGAACTTATCCAGACCAAAGATCTTGACTTCTCGAAAATGCTCTAAACCCCCAACAAGCTTTTTACACTTAATCTCAGATGTTCCCTTTTCCCTATCATCTACGGTACACAGTATAAAGTATGCCCACACCCTGCAACCCTTGTAATCTATTAAAAATATCTTGTTAACATGACTTGTAAAAAATCACCGCAACCATAATACTGTTTCATAGTTTACACCCTTTACATGTGACAAAACTAACACCCAAATACAGATATGGATACAAAATAATACTACACAAAAATTAATTTCTTTGTAATTCATTAAAGATTGGCCATAATATCAAGTAGTAGGAATGATTAGTATGGTTCACCCTTTTAGTCATACTCCTCTTCATTGTTACTTTACTAATGGTTTTTTTATCAACATGTGCTTTTCACACCTGACACCAGTAATGTTGTATTAGTGTTAGTCGCCACATAGGGCTAAGTGACTATGTAAAGTAACATTATTTAATTGATACAAGAATAGGCAGTGGTACAATATTGAAGACAATATAGCCATTTTCTTTTACATTAATTACTAACTGTATACTAATTTATGTTAATAACCCAACGTGGGAATTAGAGAGAGAGGGAGATATAATGTCAGAACTCACTTAGAACAGCCAGCATGCAGATTGACGGCGATGGGAATCGGAATGATAACACCGAGGAAAGGGACCTTTTTATATAAACCGCGATAGTGTCAGTGGCCATCCTTTGCCCAGAAGCGACATGCTGCTCGGGATGGATTGAAGAAAAGTTACAAATAGTCAATAGAACATAGTGAGGGTGTTTTTAACCCAATTTAGAATAAGGGAGGGACAGGGTCCCGGTGAATGGTGTCGGGACTAGAATGACATATAGTGGAGGTTTCTAGCTCTGGGATTTTAGTGTCAACAATACACCAACCGAATGGTTCAAGTCAGTACTAGTAAATCTATATAGCAAGGCAGCGATGTAATGGGTTGCTGGGTTCGCGTATCAAAAAGTAACAAACCACGCTCTTAAAATTTACTACATTTCATTTACCGTGTGGTTCACAATCGATCGACGTTGGTTCATAACAAAACTATTCTAGCACGGACTCGTTCTATTTTTTTATTGTGATAAGGATGGGACCGGATGTCTAGATTCATGGAAAAGGTTATAACAGGTTTAAATTCAGTGTGGTCGTGGACATAACAACTACTATTATATTAATTGGGACAGGGGCGGGATTATACATCCGGGATTCCCTTGTGATTGTTAAAAAATATACTTGCGCGGACACCACCATTCTGTTTATTATTACTGTGATAAGGATTGGAGAGGAAGTCTCTAGATTCCAACATAAAAACGTTAATCAAACCAACCAGTTTCTAAATTCAGGGCGGATAAACCGACCACTATTTTTACCCGTGCGTTTAATTTAAGCGGTTGATTAAGGATGGAGGTTCTGCTATCAACAAAATCCTTCTAAATCCCCAAAATTTCCTAATATTCAAGTGGCTTACAATACAAAAGCAGGGACCCATCACAGCTGCTTCAGTGAAACCAGAAGGACGCACATCGCCCACGCTTACAGCTCGGCCTCAGCCAAGCGCCAAGCGGTGATAATAAGACCGTAATGCGATACCGATATCGACATGCGCGACGGGGATGCGCGCGACACATAAGCAACAGGCGGTTCCCTCCATGTGCTCACATTAACTCGTAAGTAATATCTGTATTTATGCTTGTGATAAAATACGAACGCAATATCGTCTAGCAATAGCTTTAAACTGTACAGTACACTTCCGATGTATCTACTATAGATGACGATTGCAAATGGCAACATCTTATCGGGTGATACGTATAGGCCTCCACAATCTGTGTACACCTGTAAACAACACGACGACTTTGTGCTTAGAGATTCACGGTGGGTCTGTTTTAAATACCGTATAAAATAGCAACTGCTTAATTTGATGGAGAAGATCGTTGACACATGAAAACATGTAATAACAATAGAGTGTCAATATCAGTAAGAGATAATTGCAGCGTACAACGGATGTGTTGCACAGTACGTGCAACATAAATACAACAGATTACGCAAGTTTATTTATAGACTTTCGTATGCAAATTCAAGTACGGCACACTGAATTAAAACATTTTACTCCTAAAATCCACTCGGAACTGACAAATAGATCTGATAATTTGTGGTGTTGTTTTTGTCAGATAATGGAGAATGGAGTGAATGGTATTATACATCATAATACATATTAATATTATACAAAATGTAATATAAGGGTCTATATATTTATTATGTCAATTATTCGAGTGTAGTTTACTTTTTATATACGTATTACAAGTGGAATATTTTAACAGTATTAATTCACTCGGAGATTTTTTAAAGTACGATTGTTTTTATAATGCACTTTTCTCAAAAATGTATTTATGTATTAATTATTTTAAAATGTAATATATGGGTATATGTATTTGTTATGCCACTGATTCGAGGGTAGTTTACAACTGTTAATTGGTCAATTATACTGCACAAAATCATATCTAAAAAATAATAATATTAATTCGAGATAAGGGAAGTGCCAATAATTTAATAAATGTGAATCAATACCAATAAGAAACAAATAATTGTTCTTAGAATAGTTCTATTCGTTTAAGCTGCAAAGTTATTAAATTGTAATGATAACTTTCGAGTATTTTTTTCCGAGGACTAAAGATAATAATGAACCTCCACCAAGTGCCTAGTTTCAGTTATCTCCACTAAACAACACTAATAACATTTTATAGTATATTTTAATGTTCTCCTATGATTTTAATTGATTAAAAAACAACCGTGGATGAAAACTACATTTTCTTTTTTCAAACGAACGTCATGTCATACGCATAGTTATTTAAAAAAATTAAATTAAATGTTTCTTTTTGACGACAAATATTCAAGCACGACGCAGACGTAAAATATAGACGGGTTTGAAATCATACACTTAACTTACTTCTAATTGTTTCGTTCTAATCAGCTGATTGTATTTCAATAATAGAGAGCAGCGTCTTAATACAGTGAATTGTGATGTTTATGTTTGGATGGGTAATTGTACTAACTGATAGGTTGGGTTTAAATAGCGAACTATAGTTATTGGTGAAGCTAGTGAGCAATTGACTCACTCGACAGAAATCCTTACTCACGAGCCAGGCGAGTGAGGAATGGTTTCTCGAGTGAGGCAATTGCACTTTGCACTCGAGTTGCACATTATATTTTTCCTACAGTTACAATAAAACAAATAAATTAGTAAAGAAACGTGACATATTTTTATACAGAAGTGAAATTTTTATATGACATTTAATGATCAACACGATCAACAACAGTACAACAGCTAACCAGCTGATTTACAGCCAGTGCTGCCAACGTATTTCGCGCGCATACGACCTTGTCTGCATGTTATGCGCTTACTATTTCGTGCCTTCACGTTGCAAATTCTGGAGTGAGACAAAGTAATTAGAGTGTTAACATTGTCTCACTGATGAGCGAATTGGCCACTTTGCTTTCTCAAATCAGTGAGAGAACATGTACATTGTTAGGTAACTGTAGGAAAAGTTAAGTAACCTGTTCTAAACATTGCCAAACGTTCAGGCATTAAGATCGATACCCCATAAGGAAAAATCTACCGCAGGTCTCATGGTAAGACCTAGACCCGGGACCGATTTACTTTTTTGTTTTGAGGTCCCCAGAGGCCAAAAGCACCATCCGTTCAAATTCATATACGGTATATATATAAATATTTATATATGTGTCCGTTAGTGCGATAACTCGAGCAAAAAAGATCCGATTTTGATGAAATTTGGTACAAACTTGTAAACCTACGTTTATTCGAACGAGTTCGCGAACCAGTATAATCGGACTATGGGAACGGGGTTTTATGGGGTGAAAATTGATTTTTCCATTTTCGACCCTAAAAACACAAAGTTTCATAATTTCTCTCCAAACCATTTTGTAGAGCTTAAAAAAGAAATAATTTTGTATATTAAAGCGTTGTTGTATGCCCTATGGTTACGGAGATAATAAAAAAAAAATGTAAATTAAAAATTACCATGTTATTCTTATGGGGAATAAATAAACTGTTGTAGTTTGCTTGTTTATGGATATATTTTAACCAAATTTGGAAATTTGATTTATTTCATACTAAGCTATCAACATTGCAATAAAAAATCACACAGATTTTATTTTAATATTCTCAGTGTGGTACGAGTTACTGTTACATTTTCCCTCTTCATTTCAACGCCCGACAGAAAGTTCAATGTTGCCGTTGAGTAAAATATCGCAAAAATACACACCATCCCAACTAATCGTCGAATATTTAAGCGAATGCTATTAACAACAAAAGCTTTTAGTGGAATCGATTATGAATAACGGTCGTAAAAACATAAAAATGAATTCTGGTAATCAATAATAATAGAACGTGATTTTGAGTCATTATTGGATTCAGAGAATTTTAAACGGATGAGCTATTGTTTTTGCGAATAATGCCCCTTTATTACTTTGTATTTAACCGCACTGTAACCTCTTACCGTGTTGTCGAAATAGAACGAATGTGATTTAAAATTTCATACGTAGTTTTAAATTGAAGAAGGAGAACCCCTAGCCAAGAGAGCTTTTCTAAATAGATTACTTTTAAATATTTAAGTCTACATAAAACAGAGATTTTTACACATCATGGCTTTTTACTGAGACTTTTAGAAAATACAATTTTTAATATAAGTGTTTCGTAGTATTATTATAGTTAAATTTCCTCTCGGTTATTGCATCATACCAGCACTCTATATATTATAAAGTAGGACTTTCGTCCCGTAGTTCAATTCCATACAATCTTCAATATTTGTTAGCTAATTAACGTATGTAGGTTACTGTGACCCAGGGGTTCGGAACTCACCTGTATAGAAAACTAAACAGAATTAACTCTCTGATAGAACTTTGTCTGCTTGAACATGTCGTCGTCCATCAGACCATCAGTAAACCTGTATAGGGTGTTCCGTAAGTAAACAGCCAAACTCAGAGAAATGGTTCAATGAGTCAAAATAAAGAGAAAATCAAAACTTTTTTCCAAAATCGTTCGTAAAGCAGATATTCACCATTTTGTATTTTTATTCTGTATAAACATTGTTATCCTGGATAGTTTTAATCGATCTTTATGAAACTTGGTAATACCGTGCATGTTTAGGTAGTAGAGACTTATGTTAAAACAATTAGCTTGGTTTAATTCAATAAATTAATAACAACAATTAATTTATTATTATAAAGATGTTCAGTAATTTTAATATTTATGATTTAAATTGCAATAAAATGACTGAATCTAATAATATCAAATGAAAATAGCTGAAGTATTACGATTTTTTTCTCAGTAAAATGAGGTAGAATAAAGCTAAGCTGTCAGTCAGGTTGCACATCTTGTTGGCATATTTAAAAACTAAATATCGTAGTACTGTATTAGAGCTATTTTTCATTCGATATTTTTGAGCTTGGTGTTGTTTGATAGACAATTTCAAATGCTGAATAAAAATGTCCTTGGTTTTGATAATAAAATCACCCATTTTTAGCGAATTTCCCATATAGGGAATAAGCTATTACGGCAGGTCTCATGGTAAGACTTGGACCCGGGACCGTTTTACTTTTTAGTTTTGAGGTCCCCAGAGGCCAAAAACAGAGAGTGTCCGTTTAAATTCATATATATATATATATTTATTTATTTATTTATACCTATTTATATATATTTATATTTATATATGTGTCCGTTAGTGCGATAACTCGAGCAAAAATGATCCGATTTTGGTGAAATTTGGTAGAAACGTGTAAACCTACGTTTATTCGAACGAGATCGCGAACCAGCATGATCGGACTATGGGAACAGGGTTTTATGGGGTAAAAATTGATTTTCCACATTTTGGAAAAACATAAAATTTCATAATTTCTCTCCAAACCATTTTGTAGAGCTTAAAAAAAGAAATTTTGTATATTGACGCGTTCTTGTGTGCCCAACGGTTACGGAGATAATAAAAAAAAATGCTAAATTTAAAATTCCCACGTTATTCTTATGGAGAATAAATAAACTCAGGTAGTTTGCTTGTTTATGGATATATTTAAACCAAATTTGGAAATTTGGTTTAATGAATACTAAGCTATCAACATTGCAATAAAAAATACAACTCAATTTCTTCCCTGTAGCAGCAATCCTAAGTACTTCCTAAAATTAAAGTTATTTAAATAAGAAATAAATCTGACAATTTTTAGGGAATATTTTAGTAGATATCCAGCCAGGTAAATGGAAATTCGCTTAGTCTGCAGGTTTGCTGCGGCGAGGGTATTGTTAAATTAAATTTGATTTTCCTCTTTATTTTAACCCATAGAACCATTTCCCTAAGTTTGGATTTTTACTTATGGACGAGACCTCCTGTGTCATGCAACTGCAATACTTGTAATTATGACGTTGCAATAGGGTAGTGTTGTATTAAAAAAATAAAAATTCAGAAAACTCATTAAATTTAAAATAGCCTATTCTTATTTTCTTCGTAAGCGGCTCGCAACTGAAGAACAATGTAAATCCCTTTCGTTGATTACCTGGGAGAATTATTTAACTCTTTATTGGTTGTATGCACCTTTAATAAATTAATTTAACATTAGTGTTGCAGAAGGCCTATTGTATTAATCTAAAAATTCGAACATAAAC